ATATCATTGTTAATATAGGGTACACCATTCCCTCATCGTATTTTCCTAACATAAGGTACACCAATCCTTAGTTGAGACATCTTTTGGACAATAAAGGAACATTATCCAAAAAAACACAAAAAAAATATTATGATCTTTTCAGGGTACACCATTACCCGACCATTTCAGTTGCACAAAGTAAATTTGGCTAGCACACTCAGTTGTTACTGTCAAAATACCGTGAGGATTCATGCAAAGGCTCCCCCAAAATACTCTTATCAACCTACTTGGCGCAAGCAAAGATAACTTGTGATTCTCTCTGACAGATAAATTGCTCCAAAAGCAAAAGTCATTCAAGATCTCAAAAAGGGTTATCTAAGAAAAGAAATCTCTTTTTGAGATAAGACTGATTGATCCACGAAACACCAATGGCGTTGGGAGCTAAACAATCAGGGTTGATACAGAAAGTAAAGGTCCCTTGAAAGCAACAACAGAGTCTTCAAGCAGTGCAACCAACTACCAATACAGTCGGTCTTCCAAAGGCTGGATGATCACAAAGCCAAGCTATCCAAGACTCAAGGCCACAACCGACCACCACTTTCAAAACTGATAAAGTTTTCTTTGTTTGAAAAAGGAACAAAGCAGTGCAAGGAAAGTGGTTCAAAAAAAAAGAAAAAGAGAAAAGAGAAAAAGAAGAGAAGAGATGAACTAGAAAAGAGAAGTTTCTCAAATCTTTGTCTTTATTTGTCTTGCTAATGTGCATAAAATCTTGTCATTGCTCCTCACATTTTCCTCCCAGGGTAATACATCCTAGTTTGATAGATTTTCTTCCCAATAAAAATCTTAGTCTGATGAATCTTTCTCCTAAGATAAGAAAACATAGTCTGATGAATATTTCTCCTAGGATAAACGTCTTAGTCTGATGAATCTTTCTCCTAAGATAACAAAGATAACAAAAAAAAACTATCTGATGAATTTTTATCCTTGGATAAAAAATTTAGTCTGATGAATCTTTCTCCTAAGATAAATAACTCGGTCTGATGAACTTTCTCCTAGGATAGAAATCTTAGTTTGATGAATTTTTCTCCTAAGATAAGAAAACCTAGTCTGTGAATATTTATCCTAGGATAAACATCTTAATCTGATGAATCTTTCTCCTAAGATAAGAAAACCTAGTATGATAAATTTTCTCCTAGGGTAGAAATCTTAGTCTGATGAATTTTTCTCCTAAGATAATAAATTAGAAAATCTAGTTTGATGAATCTTTCTCCTAGGATAAACGACTTAGTCCGATGAATCTTTCTCCTAAGATAAGAAAACCTAGTCTGATGAATCTTCTCCTAGGATAAACAATCTTAGTCTGATGAATCTCTCTCCTAAGATAATAATTAACAAAAGAAAAAAGAAAAAAAACTAGTTTGATGAATCTTTCTCCTAGGATAAACGTCTTAGTCTGATGAATCTTTCTCCTAAGATAAGAAAACCTAGTCTGATGAATTTTCTCCTAGGATAAACGTCTTAGTCTGATGAATCTTTCTCCTAAGATGATAAAAGAAAAAAGAAAAAAAACCCAGTCTGATGAATCTTTCTCTTAGGATAAACGTCTTAATCTGATGAATCTTTCTCTTAGGATAAACGTCTTAATCTGATGAATCTTTCTCCTAAGATAAGAAAACCTAATCTGATGAATTTTCTCCTAGGATAAACGTCTTAGTCTGATGAATCTTTCTCCTAATATGACAAAAAAAAATATAGTCTGATGAATCTTTCTCCTAATATGACAAAAAAAAATATAGTCTGATGAATCTTTCTCCTAGGATAAACGTCTTAGTCTGATAAATCTTTCTCCCAAGATAAGAAAACCTAGTCTGATGAACTTTCTCCTAGGATAATTTTTTAAAAAAAGGGAAGTCTGTTTTGTAAAAAAATCGTTTGTTCATGCCCTCAAAAAATAAGCGTTGGGGTAATTTATTTAAAGAAAATGTTTTTGCTTAAAAAAATAAAAAAAAAATTAGTCGCATGTTAGCATAAGATACATCTTTCCCTAGCTGCATTTTTCAACATAGGGTCTCCACTCCCTAGTCGATTTTACTTTAGACATAGGGTCTCTACTCCCTAGTCTCATTATCCATCATAGGGTCTCCACTCCCTAGTTAATTTTATCTTAGAGATAGGGTCTCTACTCCCTAGTCTCTTTTCTAATATAGGGTACACCACTTCCTAGTTGAGTTGATCTTAAATGCAGGGTACATCACTTCCTGATATCATTATTAATAAAGGGTACACCATTCCCTCACCGTATTTTTCCAACATAATGTACATCAATCCTTAGTTGAGATATCTTTTTGACAATAAAGAAACACCATCCAAAAAAAACACAAAAAAAAAAGCATCATGATCTTTTCAGGGTACACCATTCCCAACCTTTATTTCTTTTAATAAAGACGTAGTTTAGAATTTTGTTACAATAACTCACGAATTTTTTCTAGTGAAAAATGGGGTAGAAAAATTTCGTTCGTTTATTTGTTTTGGTGTCTAAGCAGGTTTTACCTCGAGGCACAGGGTTCGAGATGATCAAAAGAAGAAGTATCAATCCAAAACAAAAAAAGGAAAAAGAAAAAAGAAAAAAAAAGAGAAGTGAATCCAAAATGCAGAAACAGATAAAAAGATATGAACTGCTCAAGACATGACTGAAATCACGAGCTTTGCGTGTCCCATTTTGATCAAAAGAATCCATAGAAGTGCAACGGTTGCGTGTCCCACTTAAACCCTAGTTGCTTGGTCTAATTTGCCTACCCATTTGGTCTCGAGAGAGTCAATTGGGCAAAGCCACTTTCTCTATCGAGAGGTGTGAGAGTGGGTAAAATTGTGCAACGGTTATAGCATAAACCCCAATTATGTCAATCGAACCTTAGTAACATCTACCCGTCAATTAGCCACCTAGGTAGTGTCACGACCCTAGTGCCATTCTTCCCATTAGATACAACTTAGCAATATTCTTGTAGCATAACTTAGTGTTAATCAATAGTTTTATAAAAATAGTTATAATTCGAAAATCCAAAAATGTTTGAAGTGACATTAGGAGTACAAACACATCTTTAGGCTAGAAAGACAATCCAACTCCACTACTAGCTCCCTGAGAAAATCGATCCCGACCTTCATATTGGGTAAAAGCTATTGTGACCCGCTCTTCCTACCTTAGTGTAGCGTTGAGTTGGCAGTGATCAGGCCCCCGGGACCTCAACCAAAAGCACAAACATAACCCAATACCTTATTCAAACTTGCTCCAATAATCAAAATACCTCAAACAACATCAAATCTACCAAATCACATCGGATTCAAGCCTAAGTTTCAAAAATCTTCCGAAATACGCTTTCGATAAAAAATCCAACTAAACCACGTCCGAATGACCTAAAATTTTACACACACATCCCAAATGACACGACGAAGCTACTGCAACTCTCAGAATTCTATTCCGACCCCTATATAAAAATCTCACCTAACAACCGGAAATCGCCAAAATATCAACTTCACCAATTCAAGCCTAATTCTACTCCGAACCTCCAAAACCCATTCCGATCACGCTCATAAGTCACAAATCTCCTCCCGAAGCTAACCGAACCATCGGAACTCACATTTGAGCCCTCTAACACATAAGTCAACATGCGGTTGACTTTTCTAACTTAAGCCTTCTTAAAAGAGACCAAGTGTCTCAAACTTCACCAAACTCATTCCGGACTCAATCTGAAACCACAAAAACACGAATAACAAAGCATAAAGAAGCTAAAATGGGGGAAACAGAGCGGTAAATCATGAGACGACCGGTCGGGTCGTCACATTTTCTAATTACCAGACCAAACCAATTGTATCGGATTATTAAACTAAAGACCAAACCAAACTAATAAAAGTCGGATTTTTCAGTCTCGGGTTTTCTCGGGTTTTTCGATTTTTCCGGATTTTTTTCTTCATAAAGTCTTCATAGCACAAAACATAGAAGTTGTGCTCAAAATATTTCTTTAATCCTAGTAAGACAAAACTATATAAGCTATTGTTCAATAAAATAACATAAATATAAGATGAGTTATGACATTGTACTAAAATATTAAACAATAAAGATAATAAAATCGCATAAAATAAATATTATTAATACGACATAATGAAAATAAACATAATTTAAAATTACTAATAAGTTATTAAAATAAGTATGACTAATAAGTACTATTATTTATATGACTAAACATTAAACAAAAATAAGTTATGCATTTTATCTAAATCATGAATAAGCTAAAAAAGATATCCAATACTATTTTCATTTGTAGTACAATTGATTTGATTGTCTTTTATTAGTATTAGTATTGATTTGATTTTGGTTTAGGATTTATTTGAGTTACTAACATTTATGGACTATAAAACTTATTGGAGCAACCAAAAATTATTAGTCAAACTTGATATAATACGTTAAAAGATAAAACTTTGAAAAAATTTAAGAAATATTTATAAACTACACTACCGTAAATATTTTTATGTATTAAATATATTTAAAACTTTTATAAATATAATGTCGGGTTGGTTTGGTTTCGATTTAGCTTATTTTAGTTAAAACCAAACCAAACCAAATATGATCGGATTTTTTTTCCAATACCAAACCAAATCATAGCCGAATTTTTTTCTCAGTTTGACTCGGATTATCGGATTGATACGGTTTATTGGGTTTATTTGTACACCCCTAATCAAAAGTATCACAATATCACATATTTTAGATATGCTTGGACCTTTGATATTCTGTACATAGTATGGCTGCCACCAATTTTATAGATAATGGAGCAGGGATTTATTTACAAGTAATTTTATTTGACAGCGTATTGTGATTTCCAACAACACTTCAGCCTTTTGTTCAAAGAAGAAGCATATAGTCTAGTTTTCTAAAATCTTATGGCCAATCAAAGTGGAAGAAACGTGACTTTTTCATCCCTATATCTGGATATGGTTCAAGAGACTGGTACTCAGCACCTCACCAAACACAATAGGAAGACAAATATATACAAATTTATATAGTGAAAGTGCATTTTTTAGTTTCGCTTAAAATTCAGTTCTAATAAAAGTTCGATGTAAACAGAGTATACAGTTCCTTAGCCATATTAGACCTTTAAGTTGGTATCTGATATTGGTGAAGAGCTAATATCTTGTGCAATTGCAACCTTAAAATCTTCAAGCGTCCAGGTGGATGTCAGTCATATTTGAAAGCAGAGACATCTCAGCAAAAATATTAGGTTCTGGCCAAAGCATTGCAATGGTTAAATATAAAAAGTAATGCTTACATCAGCCATCCTAACTGCATCTCTAATGCGTGACCTGTCATCAAGATACTGCAGCAAGATAACCAAAATAGGATATTATATGAAGCCTTGTCCATGCATTTGAGTTGCCATTAAGTCCCAAAATTACAAGCAGGGTGATGTCATGAAATTTTTGCCATGATACATCATTTCTCTATTTGTTCAAAGTAGGACATCTAAAATATCACAAGGCAGTTGACTTGATCAATGTGACTTGATCGCATTAATCAGGTTGAATTTGAAGGCAAGATGAAGCACTACAATTAGGATAAAATCAAAAAATATTGGACGGTATCTCTGTGAACAAGAATCAATTCTGACGTTAATAGTAATATAAACTTTAAGTATAGAAGTCAGCATCTTTATCTCAGAAGAAAAAAAGGATGTCAACATCTGACTATATTTCGAAAGTGCATCTAAGAAAATATGACCAAATCCAATCATTGAAGAAGAGTGGGAATATGATCATTACTATACTGAGGATACCGACATGTACCTCTTTCATCAAGCAAAAAGGTAAATACTGATAACATTGATCATTATATTGAATTCTTTTAGGAAGAGGCAGAAAATAAAAGAAAATATCTTTTAGTTAGTAAAAGTGTTTAGCCAAAGACCAAAAGAGGCTTGAGTTTAGGAACTTGGTTTCAAGTAAAATTTCTGTAGTGGGAAGTAGTTATTAGTTTCCTCCAAATCCCAAGGAAATATGGCCTCCATACAAATGAGTGAATGCAAAGTAAAAGCAATAACCATGAGAGATAATAAATTCATCTAGTAGGTTCACCTTTTTCCCCCGTCTTATTGCGTCATATAGAGTAGGAAATGAAATATCTAATCATTCATCAGGTACATTAGAAAATCTAGAACCGAAGGCTATTTCCTGTAAGGTAGCTGTTGACTATTTAAGTATTCCTAAAATTTAGCTAATAAAGGATTTCCAACTCAAGTTCACAACAATCATTCGTAGAATTTAAGAGCACTAACATATTCATAAAGGCATAACTGAGTAACAGTCCTAAAATACAAATTGTTAAGAAACAGTAGGTGGTCCTACTGCTTTAGCCTGTAAAAACTAAATTAAGCAACAATAGACCACAATTAATGAAACATAAACGAATTAAGTAAGAATACGTGAGCTTCACATATTAACTGGTTCAGCTTCCCACGGTATATGAGTTAGGTGTTATAACTTACAAACATGTCGTGTATCATTGTAATTTGAGCTTAAGAAAATAGTGAACTTGTATTATCCTCTATTCTTAGGGTGATGTTTTTACTAAACAAAGTAAAAAATGCAATACTTCTAAAAGTAGCACATTAGGATATTTTTCCTTGTCATGCAGGATTTTTGCTTCGTCCAGTCAAAGAAGAAGAGTTACACTAAGGTTACCATTGAAATAATAATGGTACATCTTCCATCACCAAAAGTATCATAAGGTGACATGTTTCAGGCATGCTTGGCCTTTTAATAGTCTGTACATAGTATGACTATTACCAATTTTATAGATAATGGAGCAGGGATTGATTTACAAGCAATTTTATTTGGTAATGTATTGTGAATTTCAACATGTACAACACTTCAACTTTTTATTCTATGAAAAAGCATATAGTCTAGCTTTCTAAAATCTTATGGAAGAGAAAAGTGGATGAAGCATGATCTTTTCATCCCTATATCCAGATACAATTCAAGAAATTAAATTTTGTTCTCCTTTACATAGAGAGTTGTTTCTATTCTTAAATGTATTATGAGTTATTAAAAGTCAAGGATATGATTATTATCCCTTTTTTTTCTTAAAAGGTAGGGTGGGAAGATGATTAAAGGAGGCAACTTAGACTGCAGGTGTAGATTGAGTAGAAGGAAGTTTTAACTTTCAACACAACTCCCCGCACAATATGAAGGTTTATTTCCTGCATTCAATTTTTCACATGCTCAATTGAACGAAAGAAAATCCTCATCAAAATGTTGCAAAAACTCTCTAAAATAAATTCATTGAATACCATATTATATTAAGTTCCTGGAACACTTTATCTCATGAATATCCGTTCTTCTTCATTCCCTTCAAACTGAACCCTTGGTATTTAAAATAATACATCTTTGATGGATATTAAGATTCAATATCAGGCTAGTCTGAACAAAAAACCTAATACCTATGCAGAACAGGTAATTTAATAATTGTTTTCAACATTTACTTACAATGTGACTAAAAGGCAGTATCATTATAAGCATGAGTATGATCCCAAATTACTTGACATGCAGGGAAAAAAGGCTCTTATTTAGTGTCACATTAGATGAAAAAATAATGTCAAGAACCATACTAACAGAGTGTCGCTCAAGAAAACAAAAACTATTGAAGTCTAACTTAGGTACAGAAATATCCATCAGATAGAAATAGTAGTAGTTTATCTACATTGTTTTCTTACAACATCGTAGGGAGCATATGAATTATGACTTCAATGTATATCAGACAACATTGACGTGGTGATTCTAGAATAAAAAGAAGTAAACTCATAACATGAATCAGACTATCCTATCGATATATGGTCATAGGATTCTTGACCGGAAAAATCAACTTAAACATTTTATTAGAAATTATTACCTTGATGAGTTGCTTATATCATGCTTCTAACATCATATGGCAATAGTTGCACCTGCACTCAATGGAAAAGATACTGGAGTGAGTTGTTGATGTTCAATTGCATTCGCTCGCTATTGAACAAGCATGTAGCATAATGAAAAGATTAAACACATTCAGAAGCTACTTACTTGTTCTATCGCCAACTTGAATGACAAAGTATATCCTACCATCTAACAAGGCATCTGAAGATAATGCGTGAAACAGGGCGAATGAATGATGGATCCCTTATGCGAATATAAAAATCGACTAATAAAAAGTAACTATAATATTTATATAGTGTAGTAGTTGGGTTGTTGATAGTTTTTTTCTTTTGATCTCAGGTTCTTCTCTGGGTAGCTACTAGACAGTAAGTTGAAAGGTAACAAAAATACTTAACAAAACATAAGTGCATTACCGATGTCTTGAAATTTTGGTCGCAGAGCCTTTCTCAATTCTCATTGTGTTCGACTGCTAAGGAATTGAATAATGTAGTCAATAAATATATGCATGTGTGAAATTTGTCTACAATAACTTTCAGTAAATTTATTTTTTTAACCGTAAGGATCAACTAAGATGGAGGACAAAGGAGAAGAGGGCAAAATCCCCAAAGAACACCCTAGTGCAACCCTCTCAAATCTCCAAAAAGTTACGACCTGTCAGAGATTGTACTGTGAGGCAATTTGGACAGACGAAAAAATTTGACACCAAATATTAAAAAGACAACATGCGTTTTAGAATTAAGTTAAGAAATGAACCGAAGGCATAAATAATTCTACAACAGCAGAAATTTCTGTACCTTCTAGAGTCTGATGTCGCGGCAAATATCGTATTATCAACGGTCATCTTCTCTAGTCTTGCTTTGAAACCATTAAAATGGAAGTATAGCAGAAGGAATATGAAGTCTAGATGAAGGAGCTCCATTCCATCAAAGAACTTTCGAATACAAAAAAAAAAGGAGAACCCAGGAAAAAATTCAATAGCCCACAATATGTCATTTCAATTTCAAACCTAAAGGGAGAAAACAAAGGGGAACAAAGATCCCTAAGCCAGGGTGAATCTAAAAGAGAGACAGAGAGAAGACATAGATGAGTAGACTGAAGAACGCAGCCGACACACACGTGTTGATCAAAAGGGATGTACACCCACAATACTCAGATGCAAATTACCAAAAATAACCCTAAAGCAGGATGATAAATTTCGAAAATAACCTCGAAGCAGGACGACGAAGAGCCCCAACTCCTGCTTCTAAATAGTAGGAATATATCATTTATATTAATTGAAAAATCTATTTATATATAATAGGAGAGGCAAAGAAATGTTATGATGACAAATAGCATAACAAAAAATTGACACATGTAATTATTTTGGACAATTCTCCAACTTTGTTGGAGTTTCAAATTTATTTAAAAAATGTAAAGGACTCCTTTTTTCATAATTCAAAATTTCAGAATTTTTTAAATTTAAAAAAAAACTGATTTTACATGGCACATCATAAGAAACCAACTTCTCCTGTAAATCGTTTAATATTCTCCCGCTCTTGCTAATCGGTTCAGTTTCATCCTTGGCAAACCAACTTCTCATTTACCATCTTCCAAATTTAATTCGTATGAGAGCAACAGATATGATGTGATATGCAAAATAATGATAGGTAGAGAAGTTCTTTCTGTATAGTTTAACTATTATCAATTACTATATAACTATATATATTCTATGTTCTATCTTAGTTTGATCGTCCGTACACAATTCGAACCCAAAAGTGGGCTATAAATTTCTTCATGACTACGCCATTCCATAATCAGAGGCAGAAATGAAAAAATGGAATCCTAATACAGCACCCACTACTACTTGGTTTAATGTGTGAAGGTGTTGTGAAACCCGTAACCATGACTGTAAAATGTAAATTAAGCAACAAAACTTGTGTTTTTTTCTGACCAATCTTAGATTGAATAGTCATATACAGAAAAATCACTAAGGTGCAATTCGATTCACACTTACAAAGTAGGAGCCCATTGCAAAGATAAGGGCACTAATGACTGCAGTGGAAACAACTCTTATATTTCTGGGGTTTCGTCTACTTCTGACAGTAATTATATATAAATAGATCATTGTTGACTATAGAAGAGCTTTGCATGTCAGGTACTTTTTATTTTATTTTTATGTTGTATAATATTAGTCTGCGATAAGTTTATATGAGTAACATGATTAGTGAAGATTTATATAGCGTAATCCAAATTATTTGGGACCAGGGCTTAGTTATTGTTGTTGTTATTGGAGTATATAAGCATTCGGTTGAGCAGTTTTTGTTTGTTGGATTAATTTGATATGCTTCACATGAATATTGGTCTAATGAAGTTAATGGCAAATATGTTGCAGCCACACACTGTAAATTTAAAGTTAAAGTCAGTAGATTTTTATTATCTTATCATATGTTCCTTAATTAATTATATATGCTATGTATATGAAGGTAACATCTATCTATCTGCAAGTGTGGTGTCATGAAATGGAGAGAGTGAGTTTGTTGCAGGGACGAAAGCTTCCATTATGGTTCTTCCTAAAGATGCATTTGGGAATAATATCTCTTCAGCAAGCTAAGTGAAGGACTGAACTCTTACAATTTTACATTGTCTGTATCAACTTTCAATGGTTCCAATGCAACTATGCTCAATTTCACCAATAACGAATGTGATATAAATGGTTATCTCGAAATAAAGTTTGTTGTAGCTACAGTTGGAAGTTTTTACTTCACGTATGAGGAGAAAGACATGTAGTAGTTTACTATAAACTTATTTAGGTTGGTTAATAATTAGTTACTCTTTTTTAAATTGAATTTAAAATAATTAAATATCTATATATTTTTAAGAAATTTTTTATAAAAAATGAGAAATATTTTATTAAATAACTTCAATATAGAGATATATAAAAGGATAAGAATAATTTATTTTTGAGATGAGAAAGTTTTTTAATAATAATTTATATGGCCATGCTATATAGATAGTTCACGTAACTAAAAATATTATAATAGATAAAAATAAAGACAAAACATAAATAACAATTTTATGAGATTGGTATTCTGTCAAATTATTTGGGCATCGGGGTCTAACACACTAGAATAGAACAATAGCCACTTGGCACCGACCATATAAATTAGCAAGATATTTCTGTAGGGAGTGAAGGGTCCCCATACATACAGAACACAGCAAAAGGGCTTATTCAATTCAATCTATTGCTTTTCTTAAAATGTTGAGTGCGTTGTGCCAGTAAAGTAGTAGTGTTACTGGCGGTGGCGTCGTACAGAAGCTGGCCCCAATTCCTCCTCTAGCCTGCGCTTTCTTCGTTGCCCGGCACTACGGCCCGTTCCGAAATCCGACACCTCACTCAACAATTCTCAGTCTCTGATTTCGGATAAAGCCATGTCTAAAGCTCGAGTATACACCGATATCAATGTGCTTCGCCCTAGGGAATATTGGGATTACGAATCCCTTACTGTTCAATGGGGGTAAAATTTTTCCTTACCTAACCCTAATTGCCTCTGATTTTGTTCCTTTTTTTATTTGGGTTTGTGTACTTATTGATACTATAAGCTGTTTGCTAATTTTTAGATTGTGAAGTTTCGTAATAACATCCACTTCCAGCATCCAAGATTTTTTTTTTTTTTTGTCTGTTTGAGAAGTGGGCAAAAATTTAACAAAATAACATAGATACTGAACACCTAATTCTCTTTCAGATTAGACATACTGAACACCTAATTGTCTGTTTGAGAAGTGGGCAAAAATATAATATATATATATAATATTCCCCTCGAGGCATACCCGAATCTCATTTTTTCAGTTATGTCTAATCTGAAAGGGAATTAGGTGTTCAGTATCTATGTTATTTTGTTAAATTTTTGCTATCTCGAACAGAAAAACCTATTGAAAGCTTTTCATGTTGCACATTAGAAAATATCAACTGGGTTAATGCAAAATTTCTGCCGAGACTTGTTGAGCTGAGATAAATGCTCTATCTTATATGCCTTGTTGCACTTCGAGTCTTTCTATGTAATTTTTACTTCTTTATTAGCTTTCACATGAAACAATTGAAGGAAAAATTTAAATACAGAATTACCAATTTGCTGAGATTAAAGATTAGTCGTGTGATTAGGTATGTTTGTGTAAGTCTAGGAACAAGAGTGAGACTTAGAAATCTGAAGTTGTGTTAAAAGATAATTATTGAGTATTGGAATGGAAGGCCTCAATTGGAGCGCTTAACTATAACAATTTCATTTAGCTGACCTCAATTAGTTTGTTTTTGTTGTTACTGTATGTTCTGCTACATTTGTAATCTGAGAGCATTTTGTTTGATGAGAAATGGCTATGACCTTGTCTTGCTTAAGTGAGAGCATATAAATTTTTAATTTTGGCTCTAGACTGCCTGGGCCCTTGGGTCAATGATTGATCATCTTTCACGAGATTTGGTTTCACATTTGATTACTCAACTTTAATGCACCAGCTAGATTGTATTATCCTCATCAGCGTCTGTCATATTTATTGTTCCAGCGATCAGGATGACTATGAGGTTGTTCGGAAAGTTGGGAGAGGAAAATACAGTGAAGTTTTTGAAGGTATAAATGTTAACAGCAATGAGAAGTGCATAATCAAGATCCTGAAACCTGTTAAGAAGAAAAAGGTATGGCATTTATTTTTGAACTTAGGTAACACGTACTGCATGGACGTGGTGGCCACACATTTTTTTTTTTGGTTTAATATTTTTTTTCGTTTTCTGCTTCAAAAGGAAAAAAAAATTAGAGTTTTGCTAGAAGAGCTCTTATATACTGCAATACTTGTTTTTGCCTGACTTAATCTATAGAGAATCATCAACATTGACAGCCTTAACAGAAAAATCTGTATTCGACTCATCAAAATGTTTACACTCAATTATTCTTATATAAAAAAGGTCTACTCTCAATTATTTGCTCATCTGTGGATGGGTGTCTACAGAGAAATAAGTCACGTCTCTTTTCTGAAACTCTGGAAGAAATGGTCCGTTCTGTTCATACAAATAGAGAATGTCTAAATTGGTTACTTCCTGACATATATAGTGTGTGGAAAAGTTAGCCCGTGTCAACAATATTTACTGCATCAAATAGGTTATCTCTTGATTGTGTTTCTCTGTCAGTCTGGTAGTACTATATATCCTCTGTTCATATATATTTTTTGACTCCTCTCCTTTCTCTTAAATTTTCAATTAGTAGTTTAGTCTGGAATTGCTTGCTTGGAGAAAAACAAAAATGAATGTGCATGCTTTTAAATTGACATTAGTGGTGTTTGTGTATAGATCAAAAGAGAAATAAAGATATTGCAAAACCTCTGTGGTGGACCAAACATTGTCAAACTCCTTGATATTGTCAGAGATCAGCATTCAAAAACTCCAAGCTTGATTTTTGAGTACGTGAACAGCACTGATTTCAAAGTTTTGTACCCAACGCTAACGGATTATGACATACGGTACTACATATATGAGCTTCTCAAGGTAAGAGATAAATCCAGTGGATGGCAGTCACAGTGACTTTACAAGTACATATGCTCTGAGTTGTCTTGTCTTTCTTTTCTATACTTTCTTCTCTCAGAACTTAAAATAGAGTTGTATGTATGTCTTAACTTTTTATACGTCCAAAAGTTCATCTGCCCCAATACTTCCCTACTGCAGCTTCTTTTTCAATGTTTTTACGAGTATGAGGATTTTGGGAGTCCCCCAATTTTCTTATGCACACTCCTTCTGAATTCGGAAGCACTTTCCAGATATTGAGTGGGTGCATCCTCATATACTTTCGATCAAATCTGAGTTCAAATTCAATTCATAACTCCTAAATCTTAGGCTTATCTCAAGTGAAAATTTTGGAATCCAAAGTGTTGGTGCCATTAAAGTGCACTAATTTGGATTCAACCGACACCTATATATTCAGATAATTGGAAGTCTGTCGAAAGAGTCTCATAATCTTGGGTTAGTGGAAATGACTAAGATTGAAAACTTGTTTTAGTACACCTTATCCTGCATGCTAGTGTAGACGAATTTCAAATACAGCTTATTAATTGACTGTTTGGGACCTATTCTTTATGTACATTGCTAGACATACTTACCAATTATGGAGGTGGTGGGGAACTAAACTTCTTATCAACCTGCAGGCACTAGATTATTGTCATTCACAGGGAATAATGCATAGAGATGTCAAGCCCCATAATGTTATGATAGACCATGAACTGCGGAAGCTTCGCTTGATAGATTGGGGTCTTGCTGAATTTTACCATCCAGGGAAAGAATATAATGTCCGTGTTGCTTCAAGGTAAGAGATCTGCTGACAGTATGGGTGGACCTGGTATAGTTGCTTTGCCAGCAACACTTTACTATATATAGCTTCGCTATTTGCAGATCCATTATGTACTTTCAAATTGTTCTCTGGACAAGCCATGAGTTTTTAGTCAGAAAGCAAGTGATTTTACCATATCCCTTTTTAAGTTAGAAGGAATGGTATTTCAGGTCCACACTGTGTCAAAGTGTTGTATACCTAACTTTTACTTTTGGACTTGATATTATTTTCTAGTTCCTTGTCAAAAACTATGTGAAGACTCTTTTAAAGGAATCTCAGTCACTTAGTGTCACGACCCTAAAACCGACCCGGTCGTGATGGCGCCTATCGTGAAACTAGGCCAACCGACACAACTCCCAAATTAACCATTTAATCAATATAAATCATTTTTTTAAACCTTGAATTAGTCAGATATCCCATAATGTAAGACCAATGAACAGTGCAGAATAAATATACAAGCCCGACATCGGAGTGTCACAAGTCACGAGCATCTACTAAGGTCTGAATACAACGAAGAGTCTAAAAATGTACTAAATACAATCTAAGGAAGACAAGAGGGGGAAAAGCAGTGTTGCGAACGTCGGACAACTACCTTGCTAACTCCGGTGACTCTGCCACTGAGCAATCAACACCCGCTACCGGGTTCAGAAATACCTAAATCTGCACACAAGGTGCAGGGAGTAATGTGAGTACGCCAACTCAGTAAGTAATAAAAGTAAATGAACGCTGAGCAGTAAGAAAACACGTAAACCAAGTCATAACACTACAACAAATGTAGGTTATTTCCAAAGCAGTACACAAATCATTTACTTCGTAAATCAAGCTCAGTTTCAGTAAAAACCTTTTAAAACAACTTTCAATAATTTCAAACGAGTGATAAAGCAGTGAGTGTAATTGATAGAAAACATAAACAACCCCTCGGGCAAAACATGTATCATAAATCGCCCCTCGGGCATAATATCAACAGGACCAGCCCCTCGGGCTACCTCACAATCACTCGTAATCAGCCCCTCGGGCATAACATGAATCAAGAACCGCCCCTCGGGCAATAATATGAATCAACAACAGCCCCTCGGGCTACATCACATCACTCACACTGGGTACCCGCGCTCATTGGGGGTGTACAGACTCCGGGAGGGGCCCCTTATGGCCCAAGCGCAATAACAAGCCATCTCGTGGCATAATCAATATATAACTCACTCAGGGTACTCGCGCTCACTGGGGGTGTACAGACTCCGGGAGGGGCCTCTTACGGCCCAAGCACAATATCAAGCCATCTCGTGGCATAATCAAACAGGCTCTCGACCTCATATCAAGCCACCTTGTGGCGTAACAAATCCGGCCCTCGGCCTCATAATCATAAATCAGTACCACACTGCTCCGGCGCAGAGCCCGATCCCATAATATCCTCACAACACAGGCCTTCGGTCTCACTCAGTTAGAAACCTTTCAAGCCACTCGAGCTAACAGTAAAACATGGGCGTTCACCCGAAATATAATTTATAGTATCAAAATTGAGTAAGGCTGAGTTATGAAATCAGTAAAACACAGCATGACTGAGTACAAATATTAAGTCAAAGCAGTAAGGAATAGCAGTAAAAAGCCCCTAAGGGTCCAAACAGTTGGCACGAGGCCCAAATATGACATTCAACCCAAAACATAGTAATACTTTCCAAAACACAATAGTATCAAATAGTTTTCAATCAAATACGCGACTTAATAGTCGTACGGGATGGACCAAGTCATAATCCCCAACGGTGCACGACCCCACGCTCGTCATCTAGCGTGTGCGTCACCTCAAAGTAGCACAACGATGTGAAGTCTGGGGTTTCATATCTTCAGGACAGACATTTACAATCATTACTTACCTCAATCCGGTCCAGACTCTAGCCCCACGATGCCTTTGCCTCTCGACTCGGCCTCCGAATGCTCCAAATCTAGCTAAAATCAGATTCATATCATCAAAATATGCTAAGGGAACAAAGCCCACTCGAAAATATCTAATTTACATAAAAAATCCCGAAATTGCTCAAATCCGGCTCCCGGGCCCATGTCTCGGAATCCGATAAAAATCACATCAGTAGAATCCTCATCCTATCGCGAGTCTATCCATATTTAATTCATTAAAATCCGATCTCTATCGCCCATTCAAATCCCCAAAAGAATTCTCAAACCTTTCTTCCATTTCCCCCCAATTCCTACTCTAATTTCTCAAATTAAATAATGAAATTCAAGACTAAATCATGGAATTACACCAAATATGAGTGAAGAATACTTACCCCAATAGCTCCACTGAAAATCTCCTTAAAGTTCACCTTCTCCCGAGCTCTCTAATGAAATTTCAAAATTATGGACCGAACCCTCGATTTTAAAAATATGAACTGACTGCCCAGGTATTCTTCATCGTGAACACGACATCACCCTCGCGTTCGCGAAGCTCAAAGCTTCATTGACCAAATTCGCTCCTTCGCAAACGCGAGGGCCCACACGCGAACGCGATGACCACACGGCTCGACCCTACGCGAACGCGGAACACCAATCGCGAACGCGTTGCCTTAAACTCATACACCTTCGCGAACGAGGGACCTACATCGCGAACACGAAGAACAACTTGACTGCCCCTCTCATTAACCCTTCGCGAACGCGAAGAAGGATTTCTCTACAACAAAATACCAGAAAATCTGCCAAGTCCAAAGTCCAAAAATTGATCCGTTAACCACCCGAAACACATCCGAGGCCCTCGGGACATCAACCAAATATGCCAACATGTCCCATAACATCACTCAAACTTGCTCCAACCTTCGGAATGCTCAAAACAACATTAAAACACAAAATTTGCATCGGATTTAAGCCTAAGAATTCCAAAAACTTCCAAATTCCGCTTTCGATCAAAAAGTCTATCAAACCTCGTCTGAATGACTTGAAATTTTGCACACACGTCACAAATGACACAACGGACCTATTCCAACTTTCGGAATTCCATTCCGACCCCTATATCAAAATCTCACTTATCAACCGGAAAACGCCAAAATTCCAATTTTGCCAATTCAAGTCTAATCTTCCACGGACCTCCAAAATACATTTCGATCATGCTGCTAAGTTTCAAATCACCTAACAGAGCTAACCAAATCATAAAAATTCAAATCTGAGATCATATACTAATAAGTCAAAAACTTGGTCAAACCTTTCAAATTTTAAGCTTCAAACTGAGAATTGTTCTTCCAAATATATTCTGATTACCTTGAAAATCAAAACCGACGATTTGCATATGTCATAATACATCACACGGGGCTAGCCATGCCCGAGAACTGGCGAACGAAGTGCAAAAGCTCAAAACGACCGGTCGGGTCGTTACGTCCTCCCCCACTTAAACATACGCTCGTCCTCGAACGTGCCCGGAACAACAAAATCATCAAATCGCTGTGAAACTTTACCATGCACATACCCGGGGTGATCCCACGTCACCCTATCTCATATAGGTCCGATAACGCAAGGCAACTGAAATTTCACAATCCAACCTAGCCCATAAACCTTAGAACCACATTTCCACTTCTGAAACCATCTACAAGATTAGGATCTCACATCCATACTCTGGATAAGCCCGAACCAGCTATAATAACCCATACCTGCGACCCCAGGTGCAATTACATGACATACTACATAACTCAAACACTTGTAGCGATAACTTCTAATCACAACAGTTGCTCAAAACATCCGAATTTCGATAATAAGCCTTTTATCAAATAAAGCCTCATTCCAACACTTCTGTATACTGCAACTGATGAATGAAACACGTAGAAAGTCATAGCCATTCCTAAGATCAACCATTCATGAAGCCATTTCTCCTTTGGCAAGGACCATAGCAAATTTCTGAGCCGAACCTCGATATTAACCTTCCAACATGCTGAAATCAAATCCGTTTGTATTCATTATAGATCCCAACGATCTCATCTAATCCAACACAACTACTCTAGTGACATGACACATCAATACAAACTAAACCCACAACTCGTGCAATCCGCGCACCAATAAGCGACAATCCGAACATACTCAAATCATGAAAATGACTCAAATGAAAGAGCTGTACCGCAGGCTCACCAGTACCACCGCAACAAAATGCTGGGAACCGGTCACACATCGTAGAAACAGAGCACACGAATCCAATCCGAATGGTCATACCTCCACATAACTTCGCTGCAATGCGCGACCCTATCCAAACACTTGTCCACATGAAACACCTCAAGTCACTATGCTCAAAATCGACAACCACGAGCAATTCACTATCTAGAACCAAAGCAAATCATCATAGCCACTGCGAAGCAATTGACATAACATTACACAACCCTGAAAGGACACAACCGATACGCCATCCACCAAGCAATACTCAATACTCCTCCCGCTCGAATTCCTCTGAGAGACCCCAATAAAACCGCACCACAAGTGCCTCTAACCAACAAATCCCAACGCCTCGCTACACGGAAAGGTAACTCATAGATCTCCCCAGATCACTAATAAGCTCAATAACAATTGAATCAACACATCCCTCAACAATGCAACACAGAGTCAACCAAGCCGACTCGATGTAGAACACACATCCATATTGGCTTGCCAATGAACCCCTTATCAAGGAGTTCCTGAAGCTGCTCCTTCAATTCCTTTAACTCCGCCGGTGCCATACGATACGGTGCCCGACACCAAACTAATACCAAAATCAACAACCCTGCCCGGTGACATGCCGGCAGCAGGACACATTCGGAAAATCCCTCATCACAGGAACTAAAACAATGGTAGGAGTCTCTGCACTAACATCCATCACGAAGGCCAAATAAGAAAACAACCCTTCCCAGCCATCCCTTGGGTCTTCGAAAATGAAACCTCCTTATTGAAAGCATAATCCGTCAAACCTCGCCACTCAATCCGTGGCATCCTGGGCATAGCCAACGCCGCCGTCTTAGCGTAACAGTCCAGAATAGCAC